GTAACCATGGGACTCCGGGTAATATGAACTTCAGAAATAAATTTTGGAAAATTAGTTTGTGTAATTTACGTTACTAATTTAAATCCAAGGGCAACTTTAGTATCGATTAATTGTTAGGAGAACCTGGGGGCTTCCAATACAACACCTAAAAAAATGACAAAGTAGCAAAATATATCAAAGGGGAGTTAAGTGAATACCACTGGACAAGCTATACCATTTATTTTATGAAACATGTAAATTAAGACAATTTGAACACATCACCTATTCTATTTCCCTAGAGGCACAATGGATATTTACCGAGGACACAAAACTCAAGTGCACTATACCTTAAATACCCGCACTACGGCCACGATGTTGATGGCTGCCCTCAGCCCCGAGGATACGGGCTTGCGGCCCTGTTCCTAATACACTCCCAAGACACACTGATGAAATTTAGTTTTTCCAACTTATTGCTGGGAAGGATTACTCCTCCCACCATCTAATACAGCCCCAGGGCTCCACCCATTATTTTGGCCCTGGCCAACCATTTAACACGTAGGCCTGAGGTCTGGCTCTCTAGGGCCAATAAGGACTTGGCCCTTATCTCAGGCCAATCACCTTCACTGATCTGTCGTGGAAAGCTACATGAATTTCTGAAGATTGAGTCAGCTCTCCCCAGCTAGAGAAGGGGGACAAGGCGCGTCTATGGAGCCCAGACACCTGCGAGCAATGTTTACAAAACTGATAATTTATGTTCAAGCCTGTCTCCTCTAAGATAGGAGTAGGGACATTTGACTCTGCCTGGTATGGGGAAGGCCGCTGCTGAGAGGGACAGAGAGGGATGAGAGGGGGTGGAGAGGGAAATATCTGAGTGGGGAAGTTGAGTGGGAGAAGCCAAGGTATCCACGACCACCCTACCCTCAGGTCAACCTCTTGACCTTGACAAATGGGCGACAGGGGGGGGGGAAGAGGAGAGGAGACGAATGACGGCCAAGGGGAGGGGAGAAGGAAGGAGGGGAGAGGGAGAAGGAAAGGAGGGGAGAAGGGGAGGGAAAAGAGGGGAGAAGGGAGAGGGGGAGTTGTAATGATCTGGGGCTCAGATCATTGGTTCTCCCTTCTCCCCTCTTTTCCCTCCCCTCTCCCCTCCTTTCCTTCCCTCTCTCCCCTTCCTTCTCCCCTTCCCTTGGCCGTCATTCGTCTCCTCTCCTCTTCCCCCCCCCCTGTCGCCCATTTGTCAAGGTCAAGAGGTTGACCTGAGGGTAGGGTGGTCGTGGATACCTTGGCTTCTCCCACTCAACTTCCCCACTCAGATATTTCCCTCTCCACCCCCTCTCATCCCTCTCTGTCCCTCTCAGCAGCGGCCTTCCCCATACCAGGCAGAGTCAAATGTCCCTACTCCTATCTTAGAGGAGACAGGCTTGAACATAAATTATCAGTTTTGTAAACATTGCTCGCAGGTGTCTGGGCTCCATAGACGCGCCTTGTCCCCCTTCTCTAGCTGGGGAGAGCTGACTCAATCTTCAGAAATTCATGTAGCTTTCCACGACAGATCAGTGAAGGTGATTGGCCTGAGATAAGGGCCAAGTCCTTATTGGCCCTAGAGAGCCAGACCTCAGGCCTACGTGTTAAATGGTTGGCCAGGGCCAAAATAATGGGTGGAGCCCTGGGGCTGTATTAGATGGTGGGAGGAGTAATCCTTCCCAGCAATAAGTTGGAAAAACTAAATTTCATCAGTGTGTCTTGGGAGTGTATTAGGAACAGGGCCGCAAGCCCGTATCCTCGGGGCTGAGGGCAGCCATCAACATCGTGGCCGTAGTGCGGGTATTTAAGGTATAGTGCACTTGAGTTTTGTGTCCTCGGTAAATATCCATTGTGCCTCTAGGGAAAATAGAATAGGTGATGTGTTCAAATTGTCTTAATTTACATGTTTCATAAAATAAATGGTATAGCTTGTCCAGTGGTATTCACTTAACTCCCCTTTGATATATTTTGCTACTTTGTCATTTTTTTAGGTGTTGTATTGGAAGCCCCCAGGTTCTCCTAACAATTAATCGATACTAAAGTTGCCCTTGGATTTAAATTAGTAACGTAAATTACACAAACTAATTTTCCAAAATTTATTTCTGAAGTTCATATTACCCGGAGTCCCATGGTTACTGATTCCTTGCCTTCCTGGGGGATCGGTGATTGACACATTCAGGTATGGTTGGTCAGGAAGGTGGTGGCAGTGTAAATGTGTTTTGTTATTGTTTTTTTTTCTAATAACCCTTGTCCTTGGTGTATCTTCCTCATTTAATATTCCTCTTACATACGTGGCAGTCCAGTGAGGGGTCATACTGGACTGTAACAGTGTTAAGCTGGGGTATTGAGTGAAGAGAGACAGAGATTAGCAACGATTATGAGAGAGCGTATATTACGATTATGAGAGATCAGCCACATACAAGATAACAGGATTAATACTTGGGTGACAAATCTTCACATTGGGTTATTACAATATTCTTCCTGCATTATCCATAGGCCGCTTGGGCTGTTATACTGAACAAACACTAATGGTACAGGGGCACTCAAGCGGTCATTTGAGTTACAGTGTGACACTAATTAATCACTCAAAGGTGTAATGATCATAAGTAAATTATTATATATACAACTCAATTCGAGTTGATAAAAATTACACCCAAAATAGGGTCTGGACCATTCATTAATGGTGTTAGGCTAATCAATATAGTACAACTGACTATGGTAATAATGGGACTAGGATGAACAATAATAGTTCAACTAGTCAGTAGTAATATCCTACCCTGTTGTGGGTTGGCAATTAGTAAATATTATACTGTGATCACTAGTGCAATATATATTAAATAATTCTCTATTTTGGAGAAATAATATACACAATTATTGTTAATAGCCTCTTAATTAGCCTCTATGAAACTTCTAATATTATCTAGAAGTATTAAATGTTATTAGTGACCTCGCGAAATAAAGTCCACAAAATTCGTGGATAATCTCTCGCGACAATATCGCGAAGACACAGTCACTAATTAGGCTGGCTTCTATATTAGCGCTGTCATTTCACGAAATAACACGCCACCAAATATCTGTGGGTGTGCATGAAACCGCTGACGAAGCTGAACTGTGCTGAGGGAGGCTCCTGAGCTCCCTCGAGGCTACGCTGCCGTCTTGACTGCTGGCTTTGTTTAAATAACACTGCACTAGTATATTTAATGAATCCACTGGTTAACTGGTTCATCCGGTACTAAGATGACCAAATGTGGGTTCATAGGACCGAATATTCCGGTTCCGAAGGTCCAAATAATGTGGGAACCGACCTGTGAGATTTATATTTGTTTAATTTATATGAATTTATATTTACGTTAATTTATATACTTCGATAGCAATTTGTATAATGATAAGTGGACTGTATTTCTGCAATAATCTCATAATCTCACAAATCGATCCTCTACACATTAGGGGGGGTTATTAAATTAATATATATGCAGCCAATCAAACTACAGTAACTACATACATTGAAGAGGTTCCTTATCTTATAGTACAGCAGGTTAGTCCACCAGGTATAACTAGGGTGTAGACACCAAATTATCCTCTTTGAGGTAGCTTCCATATCACCCAGTAACTGGTGCACAAATCTTGCATCCTCGTCTTGACCTGTCAAAAGTGCGCTAGCTGTGAAGCCAGATACCTATATATGACAAGTATATCAGAGAAAACAGTACATGGAACATGAAGACCTGGCTTAATTACCTTTAGTTTGAGGCTTCCATGTGATCTAACCGGGTCACCCTATATCCTGACATTAATGGCCATAAATGAATGATAAACGGGTTTCGGATAGACACTTAACTTGAATTGTAGACATCGTGTTGGAGATGGTACCTTTGGTTTCCATAACACTACGTCCAAGTAAAATTAACAGGAGCCGAATTTGCTCCCGTGTGAGCCTCTGGTCTCGTTATAAACAATGGCTGTTTAACACTCCATAGTATTGACGTTACTGGCCGACATTGTCCAGAATGATAGGAGCCGAATTTGCTCCACACGTCTCGGAGGTGACACAACAATGGCTGCCCTCCTTCCCCACTGACGCCTGGCCTACTTTGTCCAGATTTCAGAAAGTGATAGAAGGGTCACATTTACTCTACTTTAATATTGATAATTAAGTTAATTTATATAAGATGTTTTTATGATGGTAAAGTCCAAAGACTAATGTATTTAAGAATAATTCCCAGCAGAATAGCTGGTGAATTATAATAGTATGTGGTGATGATATCCTGTTTTCTATAGACGGTAATTCCACTACAAGTTACGTTTTCTATGGTTAACTTGTTTATACAACACAGCTCTTATCTGTCTGTATGATATTATTATTAAATGGTGTCGGACTTTCCGACAAAACCCTATGTTGTGCATTTGTCAAAGTGACCCTTCGACACCCTGACCCGTCGACACCCTGACCCTTCGCAACCCGTTCTCGCACTTTCTTATAGTCAATATTGACTTATTAAATACGTGCATATGTGACATACTAATTTATTGTGAATATTTTAGCTTACCTTGAAAAACTTTATAGAACCTTACCTAACCTTCTTAGTATGTTAAGATAAGCATCTTATGGCTTCGTAATTACAATTATTACTTAACTTATACCTATAATAGGTTAAGTAATAATTGTAATTACGAAGCAATAAGATGCTTATCTTAACATACTAAGAAGGTTAGGTAAGGTCGGTGTTTTCTATGAAGCCTTTCAAGGTAAACTAAAATATTCACAATAAGTTAGTATGTCACATATGCACTTATTTAATAAGTCAATATTGACTTAAAGAAATTGAGAGAACGGGTTGCAACCTACACCCTGACCCGTCGACACCCTGACCCGTCGACACCGTGACTGGAGACGTGCTCCGCCCACCTGCAGCCTGCACTGTAAACACTCCATAAATCAAGGTGAGGATGGGTTGACATTAGCTGGCGAGGCAAGTGTCTGACGTGTCCATGTGTTACAGGTACGCTGGCCGGACTAATTGGCCTGGGTGATATCGCTGGGTTCGTCGCTCCTATCGTCACCTCCCACCTCATCTCCCTGGTGAGCTTCGTATTATGTGTGGATATTTGTACTCTTTATTATACAAGGTTACACAGTTACATGTCTGAGTGGTTACAAAATGTGGATATTAAAAGGAAATTGGTGTGGGACTACACTTGCGGTTCAACTGTAGCCAACACCTATGTTGACTTCAGTGTTGCATAACCAGGCGGCTCTGCCAATCCCCGGGAAGCAGCCAAGTCTCGTAAATACAGGGATCTGGATCAATATTACAATTTTGTCCCCATTGCCTCAAAGACACTTGGTGCCTGTGGTAAAAGTGCCGCTAGTTTTTGCAAGGAGCTGGTTTCTAAGCTAATTGAAACAACAAGATACAATAAAGCCCCCAGCTTCCTCTTTCAGCGCCGTAATGTGGCGATACAAAGAGGAAACGCACACGCCATGTTTGCTGATGATGCAAAAATTATGAGAAGAATCAAGACAGATGAAAACATACAGAGACCACAGGACACAAACTAGAGGAATAATCTAGAAAATGGCGACTAAAGTTCAACTTAGGAAAGTGTAAAGTAATGAAATTAGGCGAAGGGAGCAGAAGGCTGAACACAAGGTACCATCTGGGAGGCGAAATCCAACGAGTCAAATAGAGAGAAAGATCTGGGAGTTGATATCACACCGAACCTGTCCCCAGAAGCCCACATCAAAAGGATATCATCAGCGGCATATGCTAGATTGGCCAACATAAGAACTGCCTTTCTGACATAAGAAACCTGTGTAAGGAATCGTTCAAGACCTTGTATACTACTTATGTAAGACCAATCCTGGAGTATGCAGCTCCAGCCTGGGGTCCATACCTAGTTAAACACAAGACAAAGTTAGAGAAGATTCCGAGGTATGTCATCAGACTAGTCCCAGAACTGAGAGGAATGAGCTACGAGGAAAGGCTACAGGAGCTAAAACTCACGTCCCTGGAAGACAGAAGAGTAAAGGGAGACATGATAACCACCTACAAAATTCTCAGAGGAATTGACATGGTGAACAAAGACAAACTATTTAGGATGGGTGGAACACGAACAAGGGGACACAGGTGGAAACTTAGTACCCAAATGAGCCACAGAAACATTAGAAAGAATTTTTTCAGTGTCAGAGTTATTAACAAATGGAATACATTAGGCAGTGATGTGGAGGAGGCTGACTCCATACACAGTTTCAAATGTAGATTTGATAGAGCCCAATAAGCTCCAGAATCTGTACACCAGTTGATTGACAGTTGAGAGGAGGGACCAAAGAGCCAAAGCTCAACCCCCACAAGTACAACTAGGTGAGTCCTGCATCCATGGTTCCTACCCGCTACCTGAGGAGCTGGAGGAACTCGACAACCAGTGACAAGTAGCCTTGTACCTTGCATGTAACCAATGTTGTAACCCTTTTTGTGTAATGAAGTTTTAAATAAAATAAAATGACAAAATACAAAAATATCGGGGGTGGAAGAAGACAATATGTGAGTGTACGCAGGTGCCCCCACAAGGTTTCCCCGGATGCTGCATATCGTCTTCTACGAGGTCGAGGGTCCCTACAAACGCAACCAGAGGTGGTACCTTCTCTCTGAGCAAGTTGTTGGTGATAATAAAAACACTGCAGAGGAAGAAGTCATATTTGCAGATTTCAAGATCAATTACTGAAACAAACACCTTGAATAAATGTTATTTAATGCTGTAAATTGAATGACGAGATCACATCCCATCCTCCTGTTTAGATAGTACCTTTTGTAGCTATGTGCACCATAGTCCAAACATTGACGTAAAAGTTGACCAAACCACACACTAAAAAGTGAAGGGACGACGACGTTTCGTCGTCCCTTCAATCGACTTGAGAATGGTCCAGGACGGACCGAAACGTCGTCGTCCCTTCACTTTCTAGTGTGTGGTTTGGTCAACATATTTCAGCCACGTTATTGTGACTCCTCGTCTGCATTGACGTAAAATACAATTAGATAGTAGAATTTTGTATTAAACGTTACAGTTCCAAAAAAGCTAAAAAAGTAACTTTAAATATTCCTAGGCCTAGTATAGCACATATATGTACTATATTAGGCCTCAGATAACGTGTATTAGGCCTAGGAATGTTAGGTTAGGTTAGTTTAGGTTGTCTTTGCAACATAAATACAAAACCTTTTCCGGTTTGTCTAAATTCAATAGTAACGATTCCTACATTCTAATTGTGCATTACGTCATATACATATATGTACTATGGTCCTCACCGTTCCTATAAGTACTACTAAACAGGAGGATGGGCTGGAGAACAACATAAGTTTGGGAGCTACAATGAGGCAATTAGATTCTTTTTTAGGTTACTTTTGATTACCAAATATATTGTGCAATTCCAAGTTGAAATTGGTTATAAAATCATTTATGAAAATGCATCATCTGTCACTTCTTCAGAATGGCATTCGAAAAATAATTTCCATTTCATAGCTTCGCTTCTTCGAAAGAATTTTTCTCAGTAAGTTATAAAAAAAATGTTTGCATATTTTTCCATCCCTATTCTATGCTGTTGTTTACTTCCTTGAAGAATTACAAATGCAGCTTATTAAATATCTTGAAAATAATGAGCTCGTTTATATTTACAAGTATGAATACAGTTGCTCTAAATCTGGGCCCCGCCTGCCTCCCATCCCCCTCACTACAAAGAGTTGGGGAAATGGGAGACAGGCGAAAAGTTTTCCCCCCCTGCTCCTGTTGACGTCCATACGCTTGGACTGGTCGGTAGAGCGACGGCATCACTTCCTGCAGGTTGTTTCCCGCTGGTGCAAGTGGTTGGGCACCGTTACTGCACAGCTCTCATATCGTTGCTCCTATCTTGCCCCCGTACACTTAAACTCTTTTATGCAACAATAGCAACCAGGGTCGTAACAGATGGTTTTAATGAAGTGGACAGTGTAGATGGTTAGTGTCATGAATCTGACGCAGAAGAGACGCGTCCTACTCTGACCAGAACTCGGCGAGCACTTGCCTCTTAACTTCGAACATATCCGTTAGCTTTGATTTTCCCAACTCAAACAATGTGGGGGTTTACTATGTGTAGCATAGTAAACCCCTACATTGTTTGAGTTAGAGAATACTATCTGTCAAATATAAATGCTTTTCTCAAAAGATTCCCCATTTTGCACCCGCAAGATAACGTATTTAAGGGTTGACAATGTCAATCTTCTTGTTTGAGGAGCTGTTTACTTGAGACAGTTAAGCAAGTCCCAACTGTGTCTGGGTACAAGTGATAGGATGAACAACACAGCGGGTTTTCTTCCTTTTGGGAAGTGTTGTACATGCTGCTATGGCGGTGTGTCCACTCACAGGATGAGTGGCGCTGCCCAATAAACTCGCCCCTCGGGGCAAAACTTAACATTGAGGTCGTTCAAAACTCAAAGTTGCTATTGTCGTGCACGACCTCAGAGGTCGTAGACTGTTTATTAAATACAGATTTAAGCTGCCATGATCGAGGTACAGATCTCGCAAGCGGACCCGTAAGTTCTTTCGTGTACAATAACTGAGCTGTAGCCTAAAGTAAACACGCCTGGATTCTATGTTTGTGTAATTCTCTCTGACAGCCACACGGGTGGGAGGCGACTATCCTGCTGAGCAGTGCCGTGTACCTCAGCGTGGGGCTCCTCTACGTCCTCGGCCTCACAGCTGACGTATACGACTGGAACTACTACGACGAGATCTCCAGCGACGCACAGCAGCAGACTGTGTCGGGTGCTGAGGCAACCCCAGGTGCCAGCAGACCTCTAAGTGCTGGGAGTCCGTAGTCAACACTATGGTGACTTTAGTGCCGTCATGGTAGTGCTGGGACACCATAGTCAACACCATTGTGACTATAGTGCCGTCATGGTAGTGCTGGGACACCATAGTCAACACCATGGTGACTATAGTGCCGTCATGGTAGTGCTGGGACACCATAGTCAACACCATGGTGACTATAGTGCCGTCATGGTAGTGCTGGGACACCGTAGTCAACACCATGGTGACTATAGTACCGTCATGGTAGTGCTGGGACACCATAGTCAACACCACGTTGACTATAGTGCCGTCATGGTGGTGCCAACATCATGGTGACTATAGTGCCGTCATGGTAGTGCCAACATTATGGTGACAAAAGTGCCGGCATGATAGTGCTTCGATAATTGTCACCCATTATTGCTAAAGTTGACAGTTGCAACATTAAATGTTGATGCATTGCCACCCAGTCTCCTGAGGGTTGCGCAAGATTGATCTGTCAACAGCTCCATTTGGATATAATCTACATATATGCCAAATGGTGTATACCTTCATAAAGATGTTGCCAGCTGCTTTAATATTGAATGATCCTGTATTGTCTACACCAATAACAGACTGGTTTGGTGTCGGAATTAAAGCCTATCAACCTCTGGAAGGTTATTAAGCTCCCCACAATAGCGTATTGACCAACTAGAAAGTATATTTTAGTCCTGAACATAGTTCAAGGCTAAAGTAAACTCTCAATGTATATACACCGTGAAGCTGGGTACACTCTAGGTGTATATATTTGTGGATAGGAATTCACCTGTAGTAGTAGTGGCAATGGGTCTGTTGGAGAATATGGTCTTTCTTGCTATCTTTTATAGCGTAGTTCTTACTACATTTGTTTACAAACATTTTGCATTTACAAGTTTATTAGAACAAATAAAATATATTCGACCAAAGGCTATAACGAAACCAAAAATCAAAATGCTGCTTTTATTTAACATATAAATGGTAAGAGTGTTTGTCTCACAAGGTGGTGATGACGTGGCCACAGGGTTGGTGGTTCACCGGGAACTGACTGCTTCAGGGCATAGCTGACATAACAATGAACGGTGCTATATTTCGGGTACATATAATCTATTCAAGATATTTACGGACTACTCATGCCCGTGCCACCTCTTAATCTTCATCAATCAATCTATTCAAGGTAAACTTTTGTTCTTTCACATTATATATAAAGTAGTTTGTTTTGATGAATACATCTTGAGCAGGTGTTTTTTTTAATGATATATAAACTTTTTCTGCGATTTCGTTTGCACACATTCACACACTAATACACACACACACACACACACACACACAAGAGGTCATAGATTTAAACTAGCTAAACACAGATGCCGAAGAAATATAAGAAAATTCACCTTCACAAATAGAGTGGTAGACGGTTGGAACAAGTTAAGTGAGAAGGTGGTGGAGGGCCAAGACCGTCAGTAGTTTCAAAGCGTTATATGACAAAGAGTGCTGGGAAGACGGGACACCACGAGCGTAGCTCTCATCCTGTAACTACACTTAGGTAATTACACTTAGGTAATTACACACACACACACACACACACACACACACACACACACACACACACACACACACACACACACACACACACGAAATCATGGAAGCCCCTATGTTCAGTACTTAGTCAAATAACAATGGATTAGCTTGGAGCAGACCCCGATGCATCAACAAACCACCCGCTTCAGACACCCAACCCATCCTCCACATATGATGATACCTACCTATAGGTATTATGGATGTAATGTACAAATATGCACTATAACACGTAAACAAATTCTATGTTTTGTACTACTGAAAGTCTAAAGAGCATAACAAAAACTGAAACATAGTCTAACCATAAACCTAATGGTTAGACCTAATTCCTAGGTCGAAATAAACAATCCTAGACCTAACCAGCACTCTTAGGAAGAGTTAGGTTTGGTTGTTGTCTTCTTTCTTGAGCCTACAAAATTAATGGTTAGAAAGTGAAGATTTTTTTTAGGTACTAGAGTTCATATTTTGCACATATATAGTAGCTATAGCATTTGATACGGTTCCTTACGAGACTCGTGTACAAGATGGGTGAAGCAAGCTGGGATAACTGGGAAGGCACTAAACTGGATAAGGTAATACTTGAAGGACAGAACACAGTCAGAGGCGAGGTCTCGAGCTGGAGGAATGTAACAAGTGGAGTCCCCCAAGGCTCGGTCCTGGGGACCACGTCAATGTTTGCACACAATGCAAAGCTAATGATGAATGTAAAAATAGAGGAGGCCTGCATGAAGTTCAAGAAGGACATTGAACTCAAGGAGAGGGCAGACAAATTCTTACTGAAGTTCAATTCAAATAAGTGTAAGGTAATGAAGAATGGGGAAGGGAGAAAGAAGAGATTTAGGAATGAATACAGATCAAGCACTAACACCAAAGGCACACAGACAAGATGACATCGACAGCATATAGGATGCTGCAAACATTAAAACGTCGTTTTTAGAAACCTAAATTAGGATTCTTTCAATCCATTATACACAGCTTTTGTTAAGCCAATACCGGAATATGCAGCACCGGCTTGGAGCCCATATCTTGTGAACCATAAAACTAAAATTTAAAAAGTGCAGAGGTTTGCAACAATATTAATGCTAGAGCTAAGATGGTTAAGCTATTGGGGAAGGTTGAGAGAACTGGACCTCACAGCCCTGGAGGACTGAAGAAAAAGATATATGATCACAATATACAAGGTATTGAGAGAATAGATAAGGACATTCTTTTTAAAAAGGTGGGTCAAGAAAACACAAGTGGAAACTAGAAATACAACTGAGTAGTTCTCAATTACCCTGAAATACAAGTTCTCATACCCTGTACTGGGTGTTCAACAAATGGAATGCACCGAGAGAAATTGTGGAAGTCATCTCCATCTCCATCTTTAAAGCCATATTCAACAAAGAAATTAAACGTCAGAATAATTAAATTATAACGCAAAAAAGTACGGGACATTTAGAGCAAAACCTCACTTCCTCGTAGTCACTGACCAACCTACATCCTCCTGTTTTGATAGTACTTTTTATTACTGTGTGGTCGATTATACCAATATATTGTAATGGAGCCCTCAGTTAGCCACTTTTGTGTACTATATTTTTAGTACAGAAAAAATAAAGCTAAAAAAAATAAAAATATTTATAGGCCTATTATATATAGCACATATATGCACGATATTGGGCCTAGGCGTGTATTGGGACGAGGATGGCTAGGTTAGGTTTTATTTGCAACATATATTTAAAAGCTTTTCCAGTTTGTCCAAATTCAATACTTCAAAAGTCTACTATTTGCTGGCCCATCACGACATATTTGTTGTGCTTTAGACCACATAGTTACCATAGGTACTTTCAATTTAGGAGGATGTGCTGCCCTTAGGCAGGTATCATCATTTGTTGGGCCGGGTAACGTTCAAGTTCAAGTATGTTTATTGAGACAAGAAAATATACATCTCAAAGGGATAGAGTAGCTTAGGCTATTTCTACCCCCCTTGGGCCGGGTAGTATGGCTTCTGGAGGCTCCCTCACCTCACCAGGTGAGCAAGGCGCCGTCCTCCGGCTCGACACAGTACTCTGTGATCTCCTCCAGGACGCAGGTCCTGGGTCTCATATAATTGCAACACTCGTCCTGAATGTTGAAGCGAACATGGTTGTCTGTGTTGGCTTGACGGCGATGGCGGCGGGTCTGTGTCTTGACGAAGGTGTGAGCGGCCTGGCGGCTCAGCAACGCCATCTTCCGATCCTCATCAGTGCTAACCTGCAAATATTAAAGTAAAAACGGGACAATGTCGTTTAATTCTTGATTTCGGCATGTAACTAAAATATGCTGATGTTTGTGCAGAAGTAAAATAATAACTTATCTGTCGAGTTATGTACAGAGCAACGTCCTGACGATGGGTGTCGGTCTGTGGTAGTGTTGAGATCAGTGAGTCGGTCTGTGGTAGTGTTGACATCAGTAAGTCGGTCTGTGGTAGTGTTGAGATCAGTGAGTCGGTCTGTGGTAGTATTGACATCAGTAAGTCGGTCTGTCGTAGTGTTGAGATCAGTGAGTCGGTCTGTGGCAGTGTTGAGATCAGTGAGTCGGTCTGTGGTAGTGTTGAGGTCAGTGAGTCGGTCTGTGGTAGTGTTGAGATCAGTGAGTCGGTCTGTGGCAGTGTTGAGATCAGTGAGTCGGTCTGTGGTAGTGTTGAGGTCAGTGAGTCGGTCTGTGGTAGTGTTGACATCAGTGAATCGGTCTGTGGCAGTGTTTACATCAGTGAGTCGGATGGCAACACTGTCTGTGACAGTGTTTACATCAGTGAGTCGGATGGCAACACTGTCTGTGACAGTGTTTACATCAGTGAGTCGGATGTCAACACTGTCTGTGGCAGTGTTGACATCACAAGCGCTAAGCCGTGATGACATAAAGAATATTAATCATGAGGCTATCATATCTTCGTTGTATACTTCTTTGCCTATAGATGGAATTTGCGAACATAAGTTTTTCATGATTTGATGTCACAAAAATTTAAGAGTATGAAGGGCGAAGTTTGGAAGTGTGCTTGTATACTTCCTTGAATAAATATTGAAGTATACAACAGTAATCTGATAGCCTAATAATTATTTATACTATTTCATCTTCATTAACTGGTTGCGACAAAGTTTAACTAGTTTATTATGAATTCAATACCCATCTTGTGGGCGGAGGCATAAAAGTTGGTCGCATAATGGGTTCAAACTCTAAAGTCTATTTTTCTTTCAGTTAAGTAATTTGCATTAATGTTGAGAGATAGCAACGGTGATAATTGTACTCACTTGGTCAACAAGAGTGATGTCCTCAGCGGGGTGGTGTCTAGCTTGTGCATGGTACAGCTGAGAAAGCCCGGCCAGGTGCCTGACTTGTGCATGGTACAACTGATCGAACCCGGACAGGTGTGTGGCTTGTTCATGAGGAAGCCCGGCATGGCTTCTGGGGTCCAGGATCGTCACAGTGGCTGCTGGAGCCTCACCACTCGCCGATCTCACCGCTGAAGGGACAAACTAGTAAGTGCTATACCTGGATGTTTGTATGTTAGAGCTAAAACCCAACCCTTACAAACATTCCAATGTGAGCACACACACGTACGCACCTCTGGCCGCATAGTGCAGATGAGTATCGTTGTATTCGTTGAAGGTGAGACATATACTGTCCATCGTGTCCGCCAGGTTACCGCAGTCGAAGTCCACCAGAAGGTTTTCTACCCAGTACGAGGAGGATGGCAGCGACCGCAACACCGCCACCAGCACCTGCAGTATCTGCGGGAGGGAGACGAATCTAAGGGTGTTGCTCCATTTGTTGGGTAGGAACTTCGGTCTGAGGAAGACTTGGTGGACCACCTATGGTGAAAGGCATGTAAATAACAAGGTGTGTCATTTTCTTAAATATAACAGGTTAATACAAATTTTGTGAAAAAGGAAAGCAAAAAATCACTTGTAAGTCAAAAATAATTTGTTCAGACGGATCTTGGTACTCTGGAGGATATGGATATTTGTTATGGATAACAAAAAAATAAAAAAAATTAAAATCTTTGATTACGAAAGAAACACATTCACTCTAAGAAGCAGCAGGGGGCAGGATTCATCAAGCAGTTACGGAAAACTTACAAAACTTTTCATAATCGCTTTATTGGCTGTTACGTCATGATTCAGCAAAGCTATTTACGAACGGCGATCCTGCTTCATTGCACGACACCCTCACTGCAGTCGTAACTTTACGTAAACCTTTTACCGTTCATTAGTCAAGTTTTCTCGACAACACAAGCCGGACTCAAAATACCTTAGCCGGCAGATAATAATCGCGTCCTGCCAGTAATATATGCTTTGTGTGTCTGTAATTCGTATTAAATATGTCTTTTATGAAAAGACAGAAAATTATTATATTAATCCTTAATAAGGCAATACTAACTCCTATTCTTTTAAACTTCTGCGTTTTCATTTATACTTTCGTCTTAGACATTCGCCCGGCGCTTTGGCCTGGGTTCGTATCCTGGCCAGGGAGGATTGACAGGCCGCCAATCCTTAACGAGCCTCTGTTCATCCAGCAGTGAATGGGTACCTGTTGTTAAACTATTTGGCGGGTCGTATTCGGGGAAAATTGGGATTTAGGACCTGCCCGAAATGCTATGCGTGCTAGTGGCTTTATAAGATTGTAAGAAATCTTGAATATATAAATAATTAAATAAATAAAAAAGTAAGATAAGTCGTGCTTTTCCATACCAAATATTTTGTTAATAGAAATAATTCACCCATAATTAAAGTTATGAAGTATTTTTAGTAATTAGAAGCTTCCAAATTAATTAACTTATTCATGGCACATTAAATACTGAAGACTAATCCAATGTTCCAACTCTAATTAGGAAAGAAAAACTAAGTTTTTTAATATTTGCTGCATTCAAATACCGTTTATACTTTAAAATCTCTTACTCATATAACGTGGAAAATTAAAAATAATAAAGAATAACTCCTTACCTAACCTCGCCTAGGCCAGTATTTATGTATTGAAGTACTGTACATATTTTAATGTCAACATTTACCTGTAATCATTCTATTTATATTATTTTTAATTTAACAGGTTATATCCTTTACTATTAGTGTCATCTATAAAATAGGTGGTCATGTAGTAAGAATACCTTAGCTGGGTACCTAACATTATTAAGTAATTATTATATTTAGTATGTGGAAATCTCATTTTTCTAATTTTATGTATCTCAATAATTTTCTTTATTTGTCAAACCATGTCTGTTATTTCAAGCATTGTTGATATAGGCCTTTCCTAAACAAAAAACTCCAGAATAAGCTATGTATCACCAGGAAAGGTAGCTTATTATCAAATTACTGTGTTTTGTATGAATCTATTAATGCCATTATTGCTGCTGTTTGCATTCTCCCCTTCATATAGTCTAGGGCAGCTGCACAAATCCACAAATGTGGATTTGTGTGTGTGTTAAATGTGTTAATAAAAAAAATATTTTTAATTTATTCAGTATGACTTATGAGCATCGGAATTTTTTATATAATGCTTAATTATATTAGGTAATAATACTTTTACAGTATTTTTCCTTATATAATTGGGAACTTACTTAATTTTGTAAAGTCAGTTATAGAGGTACAACCATTTATGAATATAATTTATAGATTAATTACAATAAATTTATTAATTAAAATACAATGTGAAATTTTATATTTCTGATACATTTGTTTATGAATATCATATTTTATAGTTTTTAATTTCATAGTCTTACCTCAACAATGACCATTCAGTTGGATCAACTTTTTATCACAGTTGCAAATAAACAGGTTAATAATTAAACATGAGATATATTTATTTACTCTGGTCTTGTCTTGTAGACGATGAGTCACGATAACGTGGCAGAAGATAAGTCCAAACCAAACATCCGAAGATGGAGAAACGACGACGTTCTTGTCCGTCTTCAGATGTGTGGCTTGGTCATCTTCTCTTGCAGATTGATTGATTGATTTGGTCATCTTCTCTTGCAGATTGATTGATTGATTTGGTCATCTTCTCTTGCAGATTGATTGATTGATTTGGTCATCTTCTCTTGCAGATTGATTGATTGAGTTGGTCATCTTCTCTTGCAGATTGATTGATTGATTTGGTCATCTTCTCTTGCAGATTAATTGATTGATTTGGTCATCTTCTCTTGCAGATTGGTTGATTGATCAAGATTAAGCCACCCAAAAGATGGCACGGTCATGAATAGCCCGTAAGTGGTGGCCCCTTTGGAGCCATTACCAGTATCATTAGCTGCCTTATCAAGACCTCTAAATAATCCTTTATTACATCACCAATGGATTACTTTGGTATTGAACTTAAGGCATATCACCTGCGCGATGGTAATTAAGGTCGCAGCAGTAGCTCACTGACCAACTGGCAAGTACACTTTATTCCTGAACTTATTCCAACTTGATTAAAGTAAACTTTCAGCGTATAAACACCAATAAATGTCGTACACATTTTAATGTATATGTCATCTTCAAGCACATCACTAGTCCCTCAACGCGATTCTCTCCCCAACAATATTTAACCACTGGAGAGTTATATGAGGCCTCCACACGAGTTTACTGGCCCTCCAGCAAGTATACATTATTCCTGAGCATAATTTAGCATTAAAGTAAACTATCTATATATTGGGAACACTGAGAAGCGGGATAAACCTCTTGGTTAAGATGTGAACTGGCTTTGTTTACATAAATCAGCTGATATAAAACGTACGTGAACGTGTACGTACGTGTACGTGGTATGAGTATGTATCGCGTCTCCATTTTTGAAGTACAGCTTCAAAGCTCTTGAGCGTAAGAGCCATGCCAGAAGCAACTGAAGAGAGAAAGAGTAACAACTTTGACACAAGAGGTGACTGTTGACCAGACCACACACTAGAAGGTGAAGGGACGACGACGTTTCGGTCCGTCCTGGACCATTCTCAAGTCGATTGTGATGAGGAAGTAGAGACACGCAATAAATTGGCAAGAAAGAGGTGACTGTCTCATAGATGTGAGGTCAGATAAACCGGTCAGAAGAACAGCTTTCCTCTGAACTGCATTACCAATTTTAGCTGAAGAGAGCTTCCCCAGATAAGAAAGTATTGTTCCAGGTAAGAGCGAATAACAGTTATAAAATCTATTGGTGATGCTGTTGTTGGAGTGTGGTGGAGTGGGTGAAGTGGAAGTGAGAGAGGGAAGTGTTGGTGATGCTGTGAGGGAGGGAAGTGTTGGTGATGCTGTGAGAGAGGGAAGTGTTGGTGATGCTGTGAGGGAGGGAAGTGTTGGTGATGCTGTGAGTGAGGAGGGAAAGTGTTGGTGATGCTGTGAGGGAGGGAAGTGTTGGTGATGCTGTGAGGGAGGGAAGTGTTGGTGATGCTGTGAGAGAGGGAAGTGTTGGTGATGCTGTGAGGGAGGGAAGTGTTGGTGATGCTGTGAGGGAGGGAAGTGTTGGTGATGCTGTGAGGGAGGGAAGTGTTGGTGATGCTGTGAGAGAGGGAAGTGTTGGTGATGCTGTGAGGGAGGGAAGTGTTGGTGATGCTGTGAGGGAGGGAAGTGTTGGTGATGCTGTGAGGGAGGGAAGTGTTGGTGATGCTGTGAGGGAGGGAAGTGTTGGTGATGCTGTGAGGGAGGGAAGTGTTGGTGATGCTGTGAGGGAGGGAAGTGTTGGTGATGCTGTGAGGGAGGGAAGTGTTGGTGATGCTGTGAGGGAGGGAAGTGTTGGTGATGCTGTGAGGGAGGGAAGTGTTGGTGATGCTGTGAGGGAGGGAAGTGTTGGTGATGCTGTGAGGGAGGGAAGTGTTGGTGATGCTGTGAGGGAGGGAAGTGTTGGTGATGCTGTGAGGGAGGGAAGTGTTGGTGATGCTGTGAGGGAGGGAAGTGTTGGTGATGCTGTGAGGGAGGGAAGTGTTGGTGATGCTGTGAGGGAGGGAAGTGTTGGTGATGCTGTGAGGGAGGGAAGTGTTGGTGATGCTGTGAGGGAGGGAAGTGTTGGTGATGCTGTGAGGGAGGGAAGTGTTGGTGATGCTGTGAGGGAGGGAAGTGTTGGTGATGCTGTGAGGGAGGGAAGTGTTGGTGATGCTGTGAGGGAGGGAAGTGTTGGTGATGCTGTGAGGGAGGGAAGTGTTGGTGATGCTGTGAGGGAGGGAAGTGTTGGTGATGCTGTGAGGGAGGGAAGTGTTGGTGATGCTGTGAGGGAGGGAAGTGTTGGTGATGCTGTGAGGGAGGGAAGTGTTGGTGATGCTGTGAGGGAGGGAAGTGTTGGTGATGCTGTGAGGGAGGGAAGTGTTGGTGATGCTGTGAGGGAGGGAAGTGTTGTTGGTGATGCTGTGAGGGAGGGAAGTGTTGGTGATGCTGTGAGGGAGGGAAGTGTTGGTGATGCTGTGAGGGAGGGAAGTGTTGGTGATGCTGTGAGGGAGGGAAGTGTTGGTGATGCTGTGAGGGAGGGAAGTGTTGGTGATGCTGTGAGGGAGGGAAGTGTTGGTGATGCTGTGAGGGAGGGAAGTGTTGGTGATGCTGTGAGGGAGGGAAGTGTTGGTGATGCTGTGAGGGAGGGAAGTGTTGGTGATGCTGTGAGGGAGGGAAGTGTTGGTGATGCTGTGAGGGAGGGAAGTGTTGGTGATGCTGTGAGGGAGGGAAGTGTTGGTGATGCTGTGAGGGAGGGAAGTGTTGGTGATGCTGTGAGGGAGGGAAGTGTTGGTGATGCTGTGAGGGAGGGAAGTGTTGGTGATGCTGTGAGGGAGGGAAGTGTTGGTGATGCTGTGAGGGAGGGAAGTGTTGGTGATGC